GACACACACAGACAACCCTGTGACAATATGTGTTTTGTACTGCTGTTACACAACACAAAACGCATAAAACAGGAACCACAATTTCGCAACCTCAACACCACGGTGTCAGACTTTCTCAAGAAAAAGCGACTATCAAACAAATTCGACCTGCCCATGAAGTAATATTCCAAAAGAATAAAATCTCAGGACCATATCTGGACAGAAAAACCGGTGACAACATGATTTTTGCATCCCAAATCCGAGCCCAAGAATAAATTGATGTTGCGCGGCCAAGCTGAGCCGAATTTTAAAAGGAAACCGAAGAAAGGGGCCGTTTACAGGAGCGAAACTTGTACAAGCCCTGAAGTACGATGAGTACCATTACGCCTAGGCAATGAATATACATAGGCACCGGCCGTGCTTCAAACAGACTGTTTTTCAAATAAAAGTCACATGACCGTTCAGTATGTGGCGGGTAGGAGGTTGTACTGGCAATTGCCACGCCTACCCGCATGCAAAGTTCGATCAGTGTTTACAGCTAAGGGATGAAACACGGACTGCATCATACATGACACTTAGCCCAGTCCCCCTATTCCACTAGTTCGAAGAGGGGCGAAGTACCCGCTGCCAAGCTTGCAAACCCCAGCCAGATATGGCTGCCGAGGCACATTAGAAGCAGCATATGGGGGGAGGCGATGCAAATGCGTGTACCACAAAGGGTAGGTCACTCCTCTTGGTGCAGCTCGCGCCCACAGAAGTGGTCATTTAGGTCAGTTACACTCCTTCTCCAAAGTTATTTTCCCCCCTTACAACTGCTGCTCGCAGCGGTCATCAGAACTGCCGTTTTAAGACAGAATCATGCCCCCTCGAATGCACCGCAACCCTTCCCCCACAGGAAGAGGCGCATCTGCACGATCCATTCCAGCTGCAGGACTATACAGAACCAGCGGAAAGCCTTTCCCCCGTGGGAAAACCCTTCCACCGTGGCCTTTCCCCGATCCTAGAACACAGCGAGCGCACAATCTCGGCCAGGCGGACACCCTCCTAGAGATACAGCGAGAACTGGAAATATTATGGCATGGCTATGATCCATATCCATATCCGACCTCCCTGCTCAGCAAGGTCATCAGATTATCCGTCGACCATCAATCCTAACCCACCGGCAGCACACACTGTCTTCGGTACGAGTCGTACGGCCAGTGAGAGTGGCTATGGTTGAATCGGAAATGTCGAGACTGTTACGCCCCAATTCTCGTCTTACCGAATAAGTAAAGAATCGATGAAAGTAATAGCATTTCACCGGGCGAGAAAATGGGCAAGACAATTGCTATAACTCGGCTCGGCTTCTTCCACTCGGCCTAACAACAGAACACTCTCGTTTCTCTGCTAATGAGGCTGTGATGGGTGCCGTTCCTCCAGGCGTTTCGGTAACATCTCCCGACTAACATCCCTCCGTGGCTAAGTAATGTATTTGAGGGTAGTGAGTGGGGAGGAGGGACGGTGTAGTGTTGTTTGCGAAGCAGAGACCCGTGGCGTGGGAAGGGCTGGCATAGTCAACAGATGGGACTTGGCTTGGCCGAGTGAAATACAATGCAAAATGCATTCGTTTCTGGGCTTACCGGGATGAATGAGGTAGCCAGGGCAGGTCGTAGGTAGTTTTACCCGAAGCGCGGGGTAATAGGGGTCTAGAGGTGATGGGTGGAAAAGGGGAGGGGAAGTAAGCTGCTGCTTTGGGCCACAGAGACCTTAGGTCGAGGAGGGCCTGAAATACTGACTGATTGGGAAGTCCGGGGCTGGAGGGGGCTGAAATGTTGCTTTGGGAACAGGAATGAGAAGCAGGGGGTGGCGAAGAGGAACAAGGATACTAGTCAGGAGCTCGAGGTCGGAACTGAAGGGAGCAGTAAAGAGAACAAAAACAACAGAGCATTACAAAGGAAGGTAAATTGACGAAAATAAAAACAAATGTAAGACTAAGCGAGCGGAAATTGCTCCACAAAAACCCGTCATCAGTAGAGGACTTCCTTATTTATCACACTTATACTCAGGTAAAACTGCAGCCGATTGCTGCTTCCAAGCAGGGGGTCTCAGCTCCTCCCCCATCAATAACCGTTCCCCCTCCCCTCAATTGCGACCTTCCCCGGCCGAGCCGAATTTTAATAGTACCCTGGACCAATGAGAAGTAACTATTGTGTGCCACGTGTGTCGGCACGCCATTTTTCTACCACTATTTGCACGATGTTCCCCAGTTCATGTAGTGTGCGGTGGGGAGGCGCTGCAAACTGGTGCGTGTCGATGCCTCTTTATCGCTCCTTTCACCCTGGAACTATGCAAAAACTAGGAATAGAGTTGTAACACACTGCTACTTAGAGTTACTTTTGTTTTATTTATAAGAACAGACCCGGGCTTTTTGCAGCACTGGTACCTTTGCAGCTGGGAGTGCGAAACCCTTCGCCTCCTCACCCTGGATTGGCCTATGGACAGGCCTGTGTGTCGCTGGAGGAGGGCCTATCTCAACTTCGGCTTCCAAAGTTGAAAAAAGCGCAGCCCGTTGCGATAAATTAAGGTTTTTATGTGTTTTTTGCGGCTACTATGCAATGCAGAAAACGCACATTGACGAGAGGTTGTCTGTGTGTGTGTCTGTGTGTTCGTCTGCACCGATTTTTCATCTCAAGACCGGCAGAAGCTACAGGGCTGAAATTTTGGGGACATAATCTACATGCACGTACGGGCTTCCATCCCCAAAATGGGCGGTCCTACCCGCGTGGTACCCGCGCAAGAGCCCGCCAAAATTTTTTTAGAGTAAGTTGATAACTCGCGAACCAGGAAAGCTAGAAAGCTGAAATTTTAAGGGAATGTTCCCCGTCCAAGTATTTACTGATGATTTTTTTTTACAGGGGGCGTCACAGTGCGGGAAGATCGAGAGCATGTCACTGGCGAGCTGTGCTGCCGGTGTGGCGAAACTGAACACTGGCTATTGCATCCCGATGGTCGGGCTTGGCACCTACAAGATCAC